ACTCCCAGCGCTGCTGCACCCGCATTCCACGCCCCCCTGAGTAACGTGACCCCCTGCCCAGGCTGAGCAGGTAGTCCCAGTCCCAGCCCCAATCCCTCCCTCCCCCAGGCTCCTTCCCTCCCTCTTCCCCCAACCCCAACAGACTTACCAGCTGCCTGTTTAGTCTATGACCGAATCTCCAAAGCGGCTGAATCTTTTCTGAAGCTTTTCCGAATCGATTCAGATGCTTCAAATCGATCCAGAGCTTTTAATTGTTTTCCCAATTTGATTCGGATTTGGAGTTTCAGTCCCTGAATTGGGCCAAATCTCTTCCGAATTGAATTGGCTACCAAAGCTTCACACAGCCCTAGTGCTTATCAGGTGGGTCTTGAATGGACGCATTCAATCCCAGAGCGCACACCTCTGTCAGTTTAGGAAAAGTAACTCCATTAGCTAACTGTATTATCAGGCAATTGTCCTATAATGGAAGACCACTAGCAAATGATACATAACATCTGTGTTATGCTTTTTATATGCATCCACTGGAAAAGTAAAGTTTAATTTTATGCCCTGTTTCAATAGTAAAATTTATGTTATTAATTACAGGAACTTATTTCCAGTTCTCGCATGCACAAAAACAGAGTCCCTGTTTACAATAAAACTATGCTGCTGACTTTTTTAAATACAAAAGATTTTTATATTTATCTTCTTGTGGTTTTATGAAGACTTATGGTTGCCATTAAGAAAACAGTAACAGAAACCGGAATCTGTATCCTGTTTGCAACTGTGACATTTGGGGGGAAAAAAAATGACAAAGGCATGTAACTACACTAAGATCACCAAAAGAGGAGAAAAAAAGCGTGGATGTTAGAACAGAATGAGTTGTCGTGGACATGATTTATAAGAATGTTACACGTTATGTAGCAAACCACAAAAAGACAATATTTTGTTTCTCATGCCAACACCTTCTGTTAAGTACATAATGTGCACTCTACTTATTACACACTCCCTTCCTGGAAAAACACCTTCACATATTACTCTTCTAAATTTTACTTCCTACTTCAAAGGCCAGTTGAGATCACCTTTTTATGGTGTTCCAAGTTAAATCCAAGTTAAACCTACAGTATGTGTAAATTTGCCCCCAGTGTTTACCAAGTATTTTCAAGAATGAGTAAACTACAATCTCCAGGAAGAATCTAACACACGCACACACACACACACACACACACACTCATGAAGTAACGCCAGCACTGTTCACAACAGGGTGGCCACTGACATGCCCAGAATACAGGATGTTCACTTGGTGAGCAGGGGGAACTGACCATCACCCCTTTGCAGTGGGGGCGGGGCTGCTGCCTCCTCATCCAATCAGCGGGTCCATTCCTCATTTAGAAACGGACAAGAAACAAAGGGTTTAAAAAGAGGACAGTCCAGCATAAAACAGGACCCCAGTTCACGATGATGTGGAAACCTAAAGGAACGGGAGAAAGCACTGCCCAAAACAAACTGTTTTCTCCAGATGCAGAGAGGAGTTTGGATCCCTAGGATGGAGAAACACACATTTCAGGGCCACCATAGCTATATTCTACAGAGCAAAGGAACAGAGAACTCTGGAACTCCTGGACTCAATTTCAGGATTTTGCGGGGGGTGGGAGGGGTCATGCTGCGGTGCTTACAGGTCCTTCTGCTCACCCCCTTCAAGCTCTTGTGCCACCTTTTCATCCGTCACACCCCATTTAGCTTCCACTATCCCTCTGGACTTTCTTCCAAACCCCACCACACTGAACTCCTGCCCCCAACCTCCCCGACCTTAACCCAGTCTCCTGTTCCTGCCCCCAGCTTCTGCTCATGATCCTTGCTCCTCCACATCTCCCTACATCATGGCTCTTGCCTCTTCCCCCTACTTGTTCCTGTCTCTATCTCTTCCTTCTGCCCAACCCCGCTCATGTCCCTTACTCTTCACTGCACTCCTTGTCCAATATCCCTCTGCCTCTTCATTGCGGGGAAAGTCCTGCTCAGTCCCAGCAGCTGAATCCCTGTGGGGGGATGGTGCACGTGCAGTCCGGGCACCACACAAACTGCCAGGGAATGGAGCATGCTCACCACAGATAGAAGCTCCAGAGAATTGAGCTGCCAAGGTCCATCAAACCTTTCAAATGTGTGTGAACTGAGATTTTTCAGAGCCTTTACCTTGAGCAAAATAAGACAAATTTCTAGAGAAAGGGCAAAAGGCATGTCACTGACAAAGGACAACTCCCTGCCAAAACAGGGAGGTGCTACAGCTTCTCCATTACATGACTATAATAAGTCTTTTAACACAGATAGAACAAACATATGCTGCCCTGGTTGTGTCTACATGTTCATTAATGTGCTTTTGCTAATGTGCATTAAAATCAGTACCTCCATTGTGAGGTACTAGAAAAGGCCACACTAGCCTATTTTAATGCATATTAGCAAAAGCGCATGGTTTTTTGTGATGCTTTAATGCGCATTAAAGCACATGTGTACACACACACCCTAACCTTACTCTAGGAAATCACCTAACCTTTTAGCTGAAATTTTTCAAAAAAGTTCAGCCTTAGCTAGTCACCTGGGATAAGACATTTCAGTCACAACAGTTTAATTTGGGTAAAGTCAGAAGCATCTGAAAATGGGTTCAACATGCATGCAAACCAGAGTTCTGGAAAGCCAGAGATTAACATAAAAACAGCCAAAAACTTCTGGAAATTGTGTTAAAAGCTGCCATAAAAAAGCAATGTTTTACATCTCATACCATTCATCTTAAAAACCTCAGAACACAATAGTTACAATGTCCAAATTGACTTCGCTGTACGGTTGGTACTGTGCTATATAAGATCATCTACAAATGACTCCCAGGGAATCTCTTACACATCTTAAATAAACAAATGTCATACGATAATCTGTTGCAATCTTAAATAAACTTTGTTTTATATTTCTTTCAATTTTAATATTACTCCACAAATACATTAGTGCATTTGCAGTTCTTGTTCCAAGTATGACAATTTTATCATATATGGTCATTCTGCCAAATAGACATAAACATGAGTGACAATATAAATCCCATCTTCTTTCAGTGCCAGAAATCTAGAAGTGTTGAGGTACTGGTGAGTTTTCAGCAG